TGATGATGATGATAATGATGACATTGGTGGTGATGATGATGATGATGACTGGTGATGATGGTGATAATGATGACATTGGTGATGATGATGATGATGATGACATTGGTGATGATGATGATGATGATGATATTGGTGATGATGATGAATAGGATATTGGAGATTATTGATTAATAATCAACCAGTTATGTCACACTACATTCCCTTATATTAGTCAATCATATGTTGAGCAGTAGATATATTATACTGTATGCATGAAATTCAGCAGATTTTGCAACTGTTCGTCCCACTGATTAAGTGCCTAGAGTTGATAGGAGCTGCATTAAATTTTGTTCTTAAGTGAGATGTAATTGTTTGTGGATTTGCAGAGCATACACGTTTACAGATGGATTTAGACAAAGTTGAACAGGTAAGGTTAACTATCACACATGATACGCATAACGACGCCTTCCTTTATTCATAATAACTGACTGTATTCTACTGTACGTATCTGTAGCTTGAGACCAAAATAACAACAGAACTGGACAGTTTAAAAGACAAGATTGCCACAATGGAACAGGTAACAGATAATAATGTGAAATTCACTCATAATTCTAAACTTTAGTAATGGCCAGTTATTGGTCATTGTCCAGCCAGAATACCCCTTTCAAATTCCAAATTACTGCTGTGTTTCTTGATTACAGACTCATTTGCACAGGGTTAGCCTCGAGTTTGTGTAGAATATTCACGTGTTCAAGTCAAGGTCCGTCAAGTTTCAAAATGTTTGTATTGTTGAACTTGTGCATTCTTTACTTTTCTGTTGGTATCTGTGAATATTTAAACACTGATACGAGGCTAACCCTGTGCAAATGAGTCTGTAATCAAGGAACACAGCGGTAATTTGGAATTCGAAACTGGTCTATTGGAACTTGTCCAGTCAAATCTATGCCTATGCCTGATGTTGAACCACAAACTAGGTATGAGCAGATCAAAAACTAATTGATCATCATGACTGGCGTCTGAGCAGCCATAATATTAGCCCTGTTTTATGTGTACAGGTAGTTTTTTATTCAAACCCTACCCTTCTGCTTAACAAAGTTATAATCATGATTGTTCTGTTGAATGTTATAGGAGCTTGAGGTCTACAGTGACCTGGATGCACTAAGAGAACAGTCACTGGAAAAGAAAGGGGTGAGTATTAACAGCTTACATAGTAGATAACATTCTCTAGAAACTAACATTTGCGTTAATGTTGACTGTGTGGTACTTGTTACAGCGTCTACATGAAGAGAAGACTGTGTTGTCTGGTAGAAAAGATACTTTTAAAAAATGTAAGTACTTTGTAAGTCTTTTGCTGTATGGTGTGTGTACACAAATTAAAGGATGAATGGATGGATGGATGGATGAATGAATGGGTAGATGAATAGATGGATGGATGGGTAGATGAATGCATGGACACATGAATGGATGGATGGATGGATGAATGAATGGGTAGATGGATAGATGGATGGATGGGTAGATGAATGGATGGACGGATGAATGGATGGATGGACAGTAGGGGATGGATGTATGAATGGATGGATGGACAGTAGGGGATGGATGGATGGATGAGTGGATGGATGGGTGGATGGATGAGTGGATGGATGGATGGATGGATGAGTGGGGGAATAGGCAGATGGATGAAAAAATGAAAGATAACAGGATGGCACAAAAACTAAAATACATGTTTAATTGGATATTAGATGGTTAATTGGATAATTTTATTAAGGAATAAGATTTAAGCATTATTTAGTAAAATGTTATTCATATATCCACCTCTGTCATCAGTTGTGCAGAACCTGTCAACATTGTACGACGCATCAAGAAGTAAGCTCCTGGAGAATGAAACATACTCACAAGTAGGTTCCTACTGCCGATAAAGTTTGTGTTTATAACACATAGTAATTTGGTCCATTAAATCTAATTGTATAATTAAGAAATATTATTAATATTATGAGATATTTTTTCATCTTTTTTCTCAGTTGGGAAATCTGGAAAGAAAGTGGCAGCATCATGAACAGAATAACTTTGTCATGAAGGAGTGTATCCTTGCTTGTCATTATTCATATATCATATTGATGGTATTATTACAAAATATTGATTTGGTCTTGACATAAAGTGTGGGTGGCGTAGTAGTTTACCGCTCGCATCTCACCGCTGTGGTCTGGGTTTGAGCCCTGGCTCAGACTGAATCATGTGGGAGTTGAGTTTGTTTGATGTGTTGCTCTCTTCTATGCTACGAGGGTTTCTTCTGGGTTCTCCAGTTTCTTCCCTCGTAGTGAGTGTTAAGTCCTCCTTACAGGTTTGTTTTGCTTTCCATCCAGTACCCAGCAACATTCCATTCCAGTGCGTATGGAGGGAACTTCACAGAAGAGCCCCATAGGGGGATAGGTGGTTGTAAAATATATTAAGATTTTCATAAGTTTTTAGCATAGCCCCATTCCTTATGGGGTTGGGGGGGGGAGGGGAGGGGGGTTAAGGGGTGTGGTCATATAGCCACCTCAAGCTAACATCAATGTGATCATCGTCATTTGTACTGTAGGTTATAACTGTTATTATTCTTAACATACTATATCCAGTCATCACATCAAAGAGTCTTGAGAGTGACTATCGTCCAATCAAGAACAAGGTGACATCACAGGTTGAGGAACTAAACAAACTGGTTATCCAGGGGTTAGGTAGAAAATGATCAATATGATGATAACAGTTATATGTTAAGAGCTTGATAAATTATTGTATTTTATTCAGGAGTCTCCATCTCATATCGCGAACAAGCGAGTGATATCGTATGGGAAACGAGTGAATAAGAACGATATCAGGCTCTGGACACATAAAAATTTGTTTATTACACAATTAAGGTCGATAAAATGACAAAACTCACAGTTTCCAATTCACTGTGGTTCTTATTGATGGGTTTAGAGTGCAAACAATTAATCCGTGAAACATTTATTACTACATAGTACAAAATAGTGCTAATTAAACAATAGAAAACAATGGAATTTGCATGAAATTGTGCCATATAGTATTACTAAAGTTTCACAGTTATATTGTATGCACTCTATCACACAGATATCAACACTAAATGTTGAATAAACAAATATTATTGGTATGCATCTTTGGTAGCTTCAATCAGTGTGAAACACTGCATCAATCATGTAAAGGTTTGTTAGTTATTAACAAATCCTTATCCCAGTTCTTTCAAAACCATTTATTTATTGCATATAAATGTGACTGCATTGTTTTAACATTTACATCAATGTACCAAATTAGGATATCAGACCTTTAATCCCTTCCCTTCCAGGAATCATGTATATAAGTTTATTCCAAGTTAATTTTACATGGTTGTTTATTCTACATCAAGCGAAAATGAGCCCCCTTTTTTAAATCATATGATTAATCTTTAGCACTTCCTTAGTAAGTTTGTGCAGTTTGAAAGGAAGTGAACCACGGGAACATGGAACCTTGGAACCAGATCAAACCAAATAGCAACAAACCCAACTTGCTAGTGTTTTCAAGTGTTTTCACATAATATGTCACTTGTGCCCTGGTTGCGTTTGTCAACCCCTTGACATCACTCGACCCACTCCCTTGTCGCACAATTTTAGCCATATCACAGGATTTCAAAGTGCAAAAAAATATGTTCCCGTGGTCAAATTCCTTTCAAACTGCACAAAATTACTAAGGAAAAGCTAAAGATTAATTAGAGAATTTAAAAAAGAGGCTTCACTTTCACTTCATAAGCACTTTAAATATCATCTTCTGACCAGTCTTTAGCAAGTATGATTAACCCCCCCCATAAACTACAATGTATTATGGGAATTCCAAAATGGCAAAGGGAAATAAGAACACTATCATCAAGGCGAAGCTGCTATTTACAATTTGCTAGTTTTTCAGTGTTATTAAATAAAAATCTCCATTCAATCCTGTAAGAATACATTCCTGTTATCATAATATTAACATCATTCCTATTCGTTTTACAGCATTTTATCTGTTCCTTATCACCAAAATGACCAACCATTTTCGTCCCATTCTTCTGTAAAAGATTTACGATTTTTGTTACCTTATGTCCAAATACTTTATCTTTACTAAGGCAATATACCTTTTTACCTTAAAAATGTTTTTCTATTTCAGACCATGTATTATTCTCTTGAGAATATGATTCTTTGTTTGAGTTGTATCCATATTCATGTGTCTTCTCATGCACAACCATAAAACAAAGAAATGATACTCTAGGAAATGACACGTGGTCTAATATGGGAAAACGTTGAGCCCAAGCCAAGGTCTACAGTCTCCATGCCTTCAGCAATGGTCAAAATATATATGTCTATATCTTGTTAAAAAAACAGTTAGATTTGTTTAGCAAGAGATTCTGTAGCTATAGTAGGCAGGAGTGTGGTTGGAATCTTCGATTCTGGTCTTGCATACAAGAGTGTTGCTAGTAAAACAGCACAGGTCCCAATAAAGAACAAACTGAAAACCAAACAATAGTTCTTAATGTAAAATGGTCCATATAACAAACTAAGACAACATTACTGGTATGTAGTTTCCAAAAAGAAATGGTCCATTTCATACCTCCGCAGAGACGTTTTCTGAGAACATACATAATGCATCGTGGTCGACCTTGGAAGTATACATCTTTTTTTAATATATTATGGTGTTGTTTGTACCCAGCTGGACCCTGATGCATCATGTTTATTGAACTCAATAGCTGCCCACTGACAAGGACTGGAATTTTTTTACAGCATTAACTTTTGTGACATGTATTATAACTTTCTTAGCCTCCTAGCTAGCCAGACATCCTTAAAAGCATTGCATGACAAAATTATAATAATGTCTACATAACAGGATACTCTTTTCTTAAAGAGTATGGTCTTCGATTGACTTAAAGGTATATTGATAAAGCCTAAATACATACATACGTACATACATGTACATGCACATACCTTGTGGGATAAAAATCTTTCAACAGATAATAAGAAACAATAGATGACAAAATTATAGACAGCGACGTAGCAAATCCCTTGAGTATATTATCGGCATACTTGACAACAGCCGCTACAACAAGACCTCCAAATGCCTGCCGGAAAAAGTATTAACATGGTATCAGTACTAACTGGCTCTACATGGCTGAACAACACCTTAGGTGTGATGTTTTCCCATTTCAGACCACGTGTCATTCTCTTGAGAATAATATTCTTTGTTGGAGTTGTATCCATATTCATGTGTCTTCTCATGCGCAACTGTTAAATAAGGAAACAATACTCTAGGGAATGACACTGTATTTTTTTCCTATTTCAGACCACGTGTCATTCTCTTGAGAATAATATTCTTTGTTGGAGTTGCATCCATATTCATGTGTCTTCTCATGCACCATCCATTAAGGTGGCTGCCTACTTTTGAACGTTCGATTTGAGCCCACGATGTGCGCGCACTCAAAAACCGCTGAAACATCTACAAGATTTTATTGAAGAACCATACACATTTTGAGCTTCAACAGGGCAAAACCCTCAAATTTTGCACGGGACTCTATATTTTTTGATAGCTCATTCGAAAAAACTCCTAAAAATCTAGTTTATAACAACCTTTTAGGAAAAGTTTAAATCAGGAACACGTGAAAAAATAGATTTTTGTAGGGATTTTTGTTCGACTTTATGAGATTTTTTAAGAGCACCGAAACTACAAAATATGACAAATCGATGTATCTCTCTGTCTTTTTGTCGAAAATATCCATGTATTATTGTAGACTAGCCTTCGTTCGTGCAATCATATAGTCTGCAAATAACTATTATCTTATTAATCTTAATTTTTTTCTAATCACTTCCGGTGGCGCAATTTTTACTCCAAAAGCTCGTGCGTAGGCTTCCATTAAATGCTGATTATCTCGAAAACGAGCTCGGGACACCCTATTTTTCTTTCCAGATTTGGAATCAGCATTAAATTTCAATTCGGAAAATCGAAGTTTTAAAAAAAGCTTAAATCAATTTCCAAAAGTAGGCAGTCACCTTAAACAAAGAAACAATACTCTAATTTAAATGGGAAAACATTACAGCCAAGGTAAATGACAATTTACTGTAAGCACTCACCTGTAGAAAAATTACTATCCATGTTATGTAGTTATAGCCTATGAAAAAACCACTTTGATGAACAGCAGTTCCATCATTAACAAACACTGCCATAAAACCAAATAGTACACCAAATGAACCTAGATGGGAATGAGAGAAAAGAAATGAAAGAGGCATGAATGGGAAGGAATAAAAGAACAAAATGGGTTTATCAAAAACAACATTATTGATTGACTTATGGGAATTAATTCACCTTTTGAGTGCCAGCCATTACTTGGTATAAGTGGTACGTGTTGGATTGTGCTTATGGTCACCAAGAAGTTCGGACATTGTTCTAAGATTACCGTACGAATGTATTGACTTTTAAACTTATTTACTTGGTTTGTTTAGTTAGCTCTCTAAATACAAGCAAAATATCATTTTTCTAGCTTGATTGAAGCTTTTCTTACTGCTGTTAAGATAGCTAACTAAAGAAATCTACCTAAAGTTTCTCTTTAAAGTCAGTGAATGTGTATGGAAATCCAAGAACGATGTCAGAACTTTTTGGTGACCGTAACACAATCTAACATTATTTATACCATGTGTTGGCTAGGGCTGAAAAGGTGAATTAACCAAGGAAATATCAAATCTCTCAACAGCCAATAAGAATATTGAATAACCTTCCTCTACCAATAAAAAACATGGTTATCAATGGAACCTTCGCAAAAGTATTGTGTATGTGTGGCTAACATGAAAATACTAAAGAAATCACGCCTTTTCTTGATGGAATTTGTGGCATTCCTTTTTTTGTAGTTCCATGTTAGCCCTGCATTCAAGACAATGTTACGAAGGATTGCATTGAAAATGATAGTCAACATACCTAGTTGTATATTTCTAAGCCATATTGAAGCTTTAGTTCCTTTTAATATTTTCTCAAAGTATACTCCAGCGAAACCACTAGAGCAGCATGCACATAGTACTGCTATAAGACCTATTAGTTTGCCAGAAGCACTGATATCTTTCTTTAGATCTTTCTCATTTCCACTTGGCCACTGGCAATTGAACAAATATTATCCGAGAAAAATTATTCAAAAAATGAATGAAAGAAACAATTGAATGAATGAACAAATGCATGAAATCATATGTGCTATTCAGTTATTACGAGATTGGGGGGGGGGGGGTGGGATGAGTTGAGTTGTTATTGCAGTGCATTGTGGGACTGTTTAGGGGACAAACTACATTCCAAAAACATTCACACTCAAAAGTCAACTAGACCAAGTTTTTCCTCAATCTCCAAAAGGCTAATAGCATTATTATTGAATCCTGATGATGATATCCCAACCAAAGGATGTATATGGTGAGTGCTTTGAAACCAAAAAGGTTCCTACTGACCTCTACAAGAGCAACGCCAGCCATTAGAAGAACTAGAGCAAACCATTTCATCTTGTTTAGACGCCGTCCCAGCATTACAACAGAAAATAATGCTGTGGTTAATATCTTGAGTTGATATGTAACCTACAGTGGACATGATATTAATAATATCGATTTTTCCTTAAATATACTCTAGGCTTTTGGCTTCAAGCATTACTTCCATTTTAGACCATGTGACACATTCTCCAGACTGAGTATCATTCCTATGTTTACTGGTTGTGCATAAGAAAGGTTTACAATCATGACGTCCCCTTGTCATGACGCCCCAAGCCATGACGCCCCCACATATACCATGGCACCCCCAGTCTGTACTACCATGATGCCCCCAGCATAAACCATGACGCCCCTAGTCTCTATTAACACTTATTTAAGAAGAAGTTTAACAATATTTCATAGTATAAATCCATGAACGACAAAAAAAATAACGAAAAGGAAAAAAGTTGACAAAATTTTGTAAGTTTTGTCATGGTATACGTGGGGGCATCATGACAAGGGGGTGTCATGACAGGTTACCATAAGAAACATGAATATGAATACAACTCAAACAAAGGAATCTTATTCTCAAGAGAATGACAGGTGGTCTGAAATGGCAAAACTTTACACCCATTAGAAGTCTATTAGTATATGAAACAGGACTCCATGCTGTCCAATTAAGAAATAATTTGACGAGGAAAATTCCGAGGACTGTCCAATTATTTTCTTAATTGGACAGGTCTTGTTGATATGGGATTAATTAGGCAGCTATATAATTAATAGGTAATGGGATTTCATGCTCCCCAATCAAGAAATAATTAGACTCGAAAAATTCCTCTGACTGCCAAATTGGACTCGGCCTACAGCCTCATCCAATTTTGGAAGTCCTCGGAATTTACCTCGTCCAGTTATTTCTTAATTGGACAGCATGGAGTCCTATTACATATACTAATGAGCATAAAGGTATTACTAAAGTAGAACTGTTTCCTCTTTTACTCCGACGAAGGACTAGCGTCCGAAACATCAGTAAGTTTTTCCATCTTTTCACGGTGTATAATTTACCTTTTCATCATTACTGTTTTCTCACCTGATATGTAGCAGCATCTAAATTAGATAGTGCCAAAAACAACAAGTTATTCTGTATAGTATAGAGTCCTGATGGAATAGCCAGTTTCAAGGTCTCCCATGGTTTTGATATTATCTCATTGTCAATCTGTGTTGAAAATGCTTTCCAACTATAACCAGCTTGAGAAAACATTACGGAGAGACACGCTAGGAACTTGAAGATCTCAGCCATGACTACTGCTGTAGAGGAGATGTAGACTGGTCCTTCATGAGTCATGCGGGAATACCTCATGATCAGGACTAGCGTTGACGTCTGCAGAACCAGGACACCAAGGCACACATGCTTGAGGTGGATTCGTACTGACAAGCCAACTAGTTTAATGATCAAAGAAAGATCTTTTAGTATTAACATTCTCATTTAAAATGTAAATGATTCTTGCTATTTATAGCTGAGTATCTCTAATTCTACATCTAATATATTGACCCTATCCTCCCTCTTTAAAACAAACCATATCTGTAAAAATAATTTTGGTCATGTAGATCAAGATAGCTTAGTCGCCGCTGGCATGCCAGGCAATAAATTTGGTGATTTGATGATGGAGTCACACATCTGAAGAATGTGCATAAAACCCTGAACTCCATGCATCGGAGCACAGACGAGTAAGAAAGTGGAACCAATGCAGTTTGCAGACATGCAATCGAATATATGGAATATAAACTGAAGCTAGATACTCGGACGATATAAGTTTAAGTTTTTCGACAGACATGGAACAAAAGTACCTTACTTCAATATTATGAATGATATACGTAAAGATAGTCTGGTCTGGTGTAGTTTAGAATGTTACGATAACTACGATCAAACATCGCTACGAGTGAGTACAACAACATAATGGAACAAGGCGAAATAAATATCTGTCAAGAAATAAAACACTCGTTCTAGTGTAACATACACATATATATTAATGTTTTCGTCGTTAGAACGGAATATTTAGATCATATTATCAAAAACAGCTCTAATATACCTTGATCAAAGCCTTGTTCGTTAGAAAAATCTTATTTGCTTTATTACTTTACCTCTCATAAACTGTCTCGCCTCTTCGTCCGCCATCTTGTTAGTAACATTATCATGGATGTTTGCTGACCAGCCAGCTTGTGCGCGCGACTTTAAGATTCTACTAGGGGAGGGGAGGGAAGGTAAGACCACGCCCTTATCTTTTACAATATTTTATTCTACCTATCAATTATTCATAAAAATAATCAACCATGTTTTTTCTTCTCCAGCTGTAGTTTGACAGTCCCGCTTGAGAGGATAGCGTTACTGCCTTGCAAATTAGCAGCGAAATAATCAATATTCTTGATATGAATATCGCTAGACACTGGTGAAATCTGTCCGCTATAGATTATAAATTCTATTCCAAAACCTAAAAACGTCACTGTGAAAACAACGACTTATCCGCTGGATGAGGATTTATCCGTCAGATAACGCTATCCATTTCATACAACCGGCCCCAGAAAAAGTTAGGGAAAAATCAGTCAACTGAAACACACGTAGCTGAAACACGAAACTGAAAAAAGACTGAAAATCAAGCTAAGCAGGTTTTGTACTGAACGCGGTAAAACAAAAAAAAGCTACAGATACATCGCATTTTTAGTATACCGTGTATTTAGTGTAATAACTCTTTTATACATTTATTTTATAGCTCACCTAGAGGAATATGCAAACTTGACGTGAGTTGTTCTCTATCTGAAGTGACTGATCCAAGCATGGTTTGTATACTCTGCTCTGTCTTTGATTCGTTCTTCAATTCACAACCGTGTTCTAATCTACTTTGTTTGTCATCCTCATCGCTGGATCCAGTCTTATCCATATATTCTTGAGCCGTAAATATCTGGTACAACAGAGGTAAACGTGTACAAACTAATGAATATTTACCGGTGTCGTTCTACATAGTTTGTAGACTGGTTTATATGTTGCTAGGTATCCGAGTGAGCTTACCTATTTTCTGAGTTGGGATTGAAGTGGGTTTGGAGTGGGAATGGAGTGGGATTGGAGTTCCGATTCAAGTTACGGGATCAAGTTACAGAAATGAATTAAATATTTCGATACTTTTCGATACACTCTCGTCCCCAGACCCTATTTCTACTCATGGGCATTCTCGTTTCCAGACTACTGCAAAATGGGAAACCCCACTGAGCGGAAGCCATATGTCGCCGGTTAGACGAAAAGAAAAGTGGAAGGGGGAGGGGAGGACCGAAATTTTTGGGACATGAGGCGGGGGGGCTCTAAAAACTTGTCATGCATACAAGGGGGGCTCACAAATTGAATTTGGAAATCTTCATGGGTTTTAATTTCTTTGGGGAGGGTTCGAAAATTAAGTAAGGTGCTAAGGGAAAGGGGGGGGGGGGGGGGGGGGGGTGGAAACTGTAAAACATGAGGTATTTGGGGAAAATCTTCATTCTCCCTAATCATTTTTAGTGTTTGGAGGTTAAAATTTTTGGATCAAAGATATTTCCCATTTTTAATTGATAGAGAAAAAAGTACGGTGCTATAGAAATTGAGGGGAAAACCTGAGATTTTCAGTGCGCAATAGAATTTTTCAGTTTTTCAATTTTTCACGATGTTTTGCGAAAAATGATTTCTATGAGAAAACCCATTGAGATAGTGAGAGATCTAGAAAACTGAAAGACGTGATAATAATACTGGAAGAAAAAAGTCATTCTAAACTCTCTAATGACAGAAGTTTTACTAAGGCCAGTAAAAAAAATCAAATGAGAAAACAAAGTTACGACAATTTTATAAATTTAATAGTCTTTCTACATTTATTCTATCTAGTAGTTACTAGAATTATATGACTAATGAGCACTATAGCCCCACCCAATCCCCGGTAAGACTTGGATCATCTTGATTATAATTCATCTTCAATGCGGACACCTTGAATCATCTTGTCCAAAGCACTGTTCATTGAATTAACAACTGGTGGAATAAATGAAAATGCAGTTTCAGTTAATATCTTCGTTCTCTTCCGCTCGCGTCGCTTTTTAATATCGAGAACATGCAATAGCTCGAAGTTGCGTGCGCAACATTGCAAGCAACAAATTTGAATCGGGGTGATATACACTGCAACAAAATCACGCAACATCACTTGTGTCAGCCTGCTATGTCAAGATATTTGGTCAGCAGTTATTAATTTGGTGCAAGCTGATTGGCTGGAAATTTCAAAATGTTGCAGGTAATGTTGCAGCCATGTTAACATAATGAAATTTGTTGCGCGCAATGTTGCAAGAGTAGAGCGCGATTCAACTTCAGATTTGTTGCATGCAACGTCGCGTCCAACAAGTTTGGAGTAGATACACGCTGCAACAGTCCTGTTGCTTGCAATGTTGCATACAATGTTGCACCGTGTGTCAGCACCTTAACGCTCAACTTCACCGTATCCATTAGGACACACATAATGGTAGCGGTCATAACAGTACTTTAGCAACACGAGAAATAATGATAACGATGAAATAACGCGAGTATCACAGATCACAATATGATTACAAATGACACAAGAGTTTGCGATGTCATCTCACTTACTTGAATTTGCATTGCCATAGAAATATTTGTATGAAGGATTTCCTCCATCGTTTATGATATCCTTTTGAACTTGTCCAAACGAATCTAAACAGGAACCATTTATTTGGTCAGAGCATTGCTTTCAAAAACTTATTTTTATTCTCGTATAAGTTATGTTATTTTTCGCAGCTTTGGGTGCGTTGAACAAATCCAATAGATTTTACTTTAAAATCTCGAGGCACCTTTTTTCTTTTCAAGTCTAGACGAAGTACTAATATCCTAACGTCAGTATTGTCACAAACTTTCTTACACATTGTTAAAGTTGCGTTCTTGTTGTATTCAACACACCCACACAGTCCCAACTAGTAACCACTAGTCATTCTTATTCATTTGTTGCATTCAACACACCAACACAGTCCCAGCTAGTAACCACTAGTCATTCTTATTCACTTGTTGTATTCAACACAGTCCCAACTAGTAACCACTAGTCATTCTCATTCATTTGTTGTATTCAACACACCTACACAGTCCCAATTAGTAACCACTAGTCATTCTTATTCACTTGTTGTATTCAACACAGTCCCAATTAGTAACCACTAGTCATTCTTATTCACTTG